AAACAAAAGGGAAGGGAAGTGGAGCTGCACTATCTGAAAGAAGGAAAGCGTTAAAAGACTACAATAATGAACTTTAGGAGTAAGGAAGAAACAAAGAAAAAAATCCAAATAGCACATCAAGACAGAAGTTTTAAAAACTGTTTCTTCATGAGATGAAGGGGCTGGTCAAAAATGTAAAGGGGAAATAGTCCTAGACATAAGAAAGAAAGCATGGGGATAAGAAATATAACCATATAGTAGAGATTTAATTAAAAACATCAGTGCTTTGTTAACAGAGGGACCAAAGAGAAAAATGGAAAGCAACAGATAGAAAAAGGGGCAAAAACATGAACAGACGTAACCTTCATATCTATTCATATTCTTGCCCCTTTTTCTATCAGTATTCCTTCCTGTACTGCTTTATGTGAAGTTTAAACTTCTTTTATTAACCTTTAAGAAGTTTAAACTTCATGAAGACTGTGAAGGGAAATATATAGAGAGGTATAAAATGACTGAAGAATTAGGAAGAAAGCAGAAAAGAAAAGAAAGCAGAAAAGAGAAAACAGAAATAATATGTTTAAACTGAGAAACAGGAAGATCAGTGAACAAGACATTTTAGTAGTTAACACAAGGTAGGCTGTAGGTCTGAATAAGAATGTTCACTGATATTAAGAACAAATTTAGAAATCTTATAGAAATAAAATCGGCAGAACTTAGGTAGACATGTGAGCGGAAATAGAAAGAGATCAAAGATAACACCAAAACCCTTTAACTGTAGAAAAGACTGAAGGTTGGTGCCAATTAGAACTTTGGAAGAGATCTGGATGTATCTTTTGCACAGTGACATCCAGGCAGATACAGACAATTTGAAATAAAGTATTGGTAAAGGGGAGGGGAGGACCAAACAATAGCGCTTGAAATCATTCGTATAACAGTGGCACATTGCAAGCCACAAGAATAAATTGGATTGCTAAGAGAAAGCATATAAAGAGTTAAGAGAAGAGGGCTTCGTTTCTTTTATGACACAGGAGTGAAAGCAGGAGTGTCCAGTCCCAAAGAACTGTAAAAGAAGCACATAATGATCACCTGTACCCAAAGCTGATGAAAGTACATACAGAGAAAGCTGGTGTATTTCAGCATATTATACCACTTTAGATTTTCCACAGAGCAATCTCACTAGAATGTTTGAGTCAAAAACCAGCTGAAAAAGACCATAAAAAAATAGATGAAAGAAAACTGTCACATTTAGATAAGATTAAGAGGAGCAGTTAAGTCCCCCCTGATCTAAATCTATTTTAGTAAATATTGGGCCCTCAGCACCACACACAATTTACCTCTTTTGTTTTCGTCAGGCGTTGTCTCATCTTGCTTTAAAAATGCTAGCTTCCCAAAGCTGGGGGGGGGGGGAATATATGTGGACAATTTTATGACTGTTGGAAACTAGCATATTCAAAGCAAGAAGAAACAATGCTTGAAGAAAGGTATAGGTAAGAGGAAAAACAAATCAATATTTACTAAAATGGGAGAGGGAATTGGATCAAGAAGATAAGCAGTACATTGAAGTGAAGAAAAAATAGAAATAGCATCAAATGTTCGAAAATGAAGAATAAGACAGTGTCCACACTATACCTTTAAAGCACATTCCCTTCCCTCAAAGAATTCTGGGTACTGTAGTTTAACCTCCAAAGAGTTATAATTTATAGCAACCAATAACAAACTTCAGCACTCAGAATACTTAGAGGGAAAGAATGTGCTTAAAATGCACTATAAAAGTATAGTGTGTATACTGCCTAAAGAGATACAATAAAATTGAAGGAGTAGGAGGAATAATAGAACAGGAAGAAAAAGGAGGTGATGAAAACAACCAACATAAATAACATTTCTGTTATTCATTCCTCATTACCTCTCTCTTCTTCTGACTGTAATATGCCTCCTACTCCTTCCATTTTATTAAGTTACTTATTTGGTACTTAGATTTACTGAAATCATTTAGAGTTGTTTCCAGGGAACTAAAACTTTTAAGACGGTGGTATTGGTGTACTTTTGATCATAGTCTAAACTATTTGAAATCGCATCATAAAAGGCAAAACCCACAGCATTTCATAGTGCATGTGAATGATTAAACAATACTATCTTGCAGAGAAGCTGAAATTTAACGATGTTCTAATAGGGCATGCAGAACAACTATGTAGTACTTTGGTCAAGCTGGTGAATGTTAAATCTCGAGATCCTTGTATAATGTCATTCCCTGCTAGTTCAGAATGCTGTTGTCTAGCTGCTCTCCCTTCACATGATGTCTTCCCTTAACTGCTACAGGACAGCCCAGTCCTCGAAATATATTTAAGCTGGGCCAACATAATCAGTTTGTATGCACATATTTTAATGCTGAAACCAACTTGTGTCCTGTTGCTTTAGTAGAGATCCTATAACTTTTTTGATTTGCACAGAACTCATGTGAAACAGAGGTCCTACCCCTTTTGCAAATATAAATATTTATGCTGGAACAGGGAGGCTGAGGGCGTGGGCCAAGTGAGCAGAGAGGAAGGATCTGGCACTATGCGGAATTCTCTGGTCAGTTGCAAAGAACAGGCCAAGCAAGGAGAGGTGGCAGACATATTATCACAACAATTCCCATCCTCCCTCAGTCTTAGCAAGGCCTTTTGCATGTTTGGTTTTTTAAATGTCCCAGGGACTGATTCCTCAATGCCACCTTTTCATCTTCCTTTCTTTATTCCATTCCTTCATGCAACTAGTACTGTGAGATGTGACTGACAGCTCAAAGGACTAGGCTACTAAACCCTACTAATTCGGGGTATGATGCCAGAAATAAATGTTGTTCTTTTTTAACTTTGCATGCTACAAGCTTAATGGTTGTGTAATTATACACTTTAAATCTGATAGACATACATAACTGTAGTAGAAACAGGTTATCAGAATTAAGAACTGCCCTCCATGGTTCCTGAAAACAATCAGATTGTGGTTGGACGCTTGGCAGAGTAAAATAAACTTGCCAAAACAATTACATCTAATTTCTTGACTTTTAATGATATTAACTGATATGTTTCCACACAGTTGGTTTTTGATGCTTAAGTGTAAGCCAAATAATTTCAGTTACCGGTAATAACCTGCATGTTTGCCTGATACCTGTAAAACTATTAGATTGTTATAAAACAAGGGATGGAGGATCTGTTACCATGGATATTGAAATAAAATCAGATATTACTTGATTAGCTTCTTAAACAGAGGCTGAAACAATGCCAAAATTTCAACTAGGAGAAGGCTACAATGATTACTTAGTATTGGAAAAAGATGCTGCAGTGCTCTTTAGTTTCCTCCCTAAATGCTACTCCTGCCAAAATGAAAAAATGTGAATATGGAACTATTTGTCTGCCTTGAAGACAGCCACTATCTTCTTCCTTCCTACCCAAGCCCTGTAGCTCTCCATGTCCAACAGAAAACATGGTAGTTTTATGCAACGTGTTAATTTAATGTAGATAAATTAATGCAGATTAGCCCCTTGCGTAGGCACTGTTAATCCATACTAAGAGACTTAATTAAATGCAGCCTGTTTGGAGCAAGGTTAAATGTAAATGAGCAAACAACATTTTCTCTTTTTTTAAAGAGTATCTACCCAGGACCTTAGATACTTTTTGCAGAGGATTTGTGCCTGTTTGAAGAGAGATACATTTACACAATGTGAGAATAGGAGAAACCAAGTACAAAGCCATTTATCACGCATAAATATCAGAATGTGATATGGAAAGAAAATTATATAAGCTATTACAATGTAAGAAGAAAAATGGAAGGCTTGGTTTTTGTATTTTATTGATTTTAATGATTTACAGTGGCAAAAAATATACAAATCTGAAGATACTTTTATGTAGTCTCTGGGGTCTTCATAAATTCATGAAACCAGATTTTGTCCTTCAGCACTGGACAGGTAGTTTTAAAAATGTGATAGTCAAAGTACTATAAATTATAAACATTTTAACAAGCAGATAAATTAAAAGGTTACATTTTGAGTGACTGTGTATCAAAATCTATGGGTTTTAAATATGCAATTATTACCTCAGCCTGCCCCAAGAGTTTACTTAAGTGTCTCATATGAGCCCTTAATAATCCCTCTCTGTCCCCTGACCTTTACAGGAGGAAAAAAAGGGCCACTCTACTGCTATAGAAGCCCTATGTCTGAAATTCTGACTCAGTCGCTAAATAAGCATACAGACAGAATAAAAATGAGTAGTCATCTTGTTCAGAATCAGGGGAGAGAGAGGGGGAAAATTGCTACAGGGAAGAAGAAGAAAAGTTGTTTCCTAAAATAAAGATTAAAAAACCCAAGAAGAAATAAGAAGAAGAAATAAGGTGATACTGAAACAGCAGCATATTGTGTAGCTAGGGTATTGGTGGGTAGCCTGGTTCTATTTTGTTGTTGTTATTAAAAGAACTACATAGGCATTCCTCATCTACAATTGCAAAACTGCTTTAATGATTGGAAGTAGGAGTCGATTGCTTAATCCAGAGATGTCATTGGCACAAGCCAATAGGCAGCTGAAGTATGCAACATTTTGGACAATTCTAATAAGCCCTAGAAATAATCAAGTGCAGGGCATAACATGTAATATTTCTCTCTGTCTCCTCTGAAAGGTTTTTTCACATATAGTTTGAAGCCTGTACAACGAACACTGCAAAAGCAGTCTGACTAAAGCCCTCGTGGATAATCTTAGTAATAATAAAGTACACATGCTATACTACCCACCACCCATTGCCCTAAAAATCTGGTGCCCATTTAAAAAATGGGGTGGGGGTGGTGGCATGGCTGTCCCTAGCAGCTTCTGCATGCAAAGTGGGTGCTTTTCCACTGGCCCTTCCCTATATATTGGACTTTAAAAAAAAACAAAAATGGGTTGGTACTATTAAAGTGATTTAACATAGGCATTTCTCGCTTGGTCGCTTTCTAGAGTGAAAAAAATAGGCATGCTTTTAGTATTTTAAAATTCTGCCTTACCTCCTCCCATCCCCAGGTATTGATTACAAGACGACAACAATACTCCTGGATGGCCGTCGAATAAAGCTGCAGCTCTGGTAACTTTGCATTATGTTCTCTGTTTGGATTGTGCCATTGTGCTTTGAAAACAGTTCATAGTGGGCGTAATACTGCTTGGATGTGATGTCATATTTACTGTAAAGTTGACTACAAATATTTAATTCTTATAACAGTTAAGAACAGGTCATACTACCCACCAGCCTTTTGTACTAAAGAGCTATAGTTGAGGACAAGGGAGCAACTGTGAAATTAATGGGTTTCTCTGTATATGTGCAAGGAGCCTAAGTAATATTAAATGATTGGTGAATTTATTATAGGAGTACATAATCACCCATGTAGATTCAGTAGATGATCCTGCTGAAATGCATGATGTCCATGTGGTTTAGTGGCTAGAGTACTGGACTCGCACCTGGAAGACCAGGGTTCAAATTCCCACTTATCCATGAAGCTCACTGAGTGATCTTGGACCAGTCTCTGTCTTTCAGCCTCACATACCTAACATACCTAACCTGGACTGCTTTTCCCACTAAGGCAAAGGGTAGAATACTAATAAAGAGAGCAAAACAGAAAGACCAGCTAAGAATTCAACAAGAACACTGTTATTCAGAATGGAAAGGGCTATGTATTTTTAACTGTATTTTACCTTCCACAGGGACACATCTGGGCAAGGCAGATTCTGCACCATATTTCGTTCCTATTCCAGAGGGGCCCAGGTAATCACAATTCTGCCATCTCTAAAATATGTCACTGTAGAGAATTAACTAAAAAGAAAAGAGCTACAATAAGGGGTGGGGGAACTATACTTACTTATTGTACTACTTGCTTTCAAAAATTGTTATACAATTTGTTGCTGCTGAATAAAGGGAGCATCCTTTGAGTCACCAGAAATAAATTTAGAGAAATATTCAGATTTGTTAAGTCCTCAGTCTGCTCCTCTTTTTCCTGGTTAAATAAAGGAATGGTTACACAAAATTGTGTGATGTACTGTGTACCTTATATATGTGTCAGGCTGATCTAATCTTCTTTATTCACTCAGGGTGTGATATTGGTATATGACATTACAAATCGCTGGTCATTTGATGGCATTGATCGATGGATAAAGGAAATAGATGAGGTAAGACACATCTCTGAATGTTTCATATAATGCCTAAGAAAATGATTGAACTACATGACGACTGAATGAGATGGCTAGAATGTGGGTGGCTGAAAACTCATGACAAATCCACTTGAAGGTGGTCTAAAACCCATTTGAAAGAGTTTGCAGTAGCAGGGAGCTTTCTTTTCTGCCATCAAAAGACTGTGTCACCTTAGAGTTGCTGTGGGTGGCAAATGGATACCTAACTGCATGTCTTGACTATCGAGGGAAGTAATTGACAGCTTGCTGTGACATGTGAGACATTTTGCAGATAAAATTGCTTATATCCTAAAAATTCCTTCCAGTAGCACCTTAAAGACCAACTAAGTTAGTTCTTGGTATGAGCTTTCGTGTGCATGCACACTTCTTCAGATACACTGAAACACTGAAAGCTCATACCAAGAACTAACTTAGTTGGTCTTTAAGGTGCTACTGGAAGGAATTTTTTGACTATGGCAGACCAACACGGCTACCTATCTGTAACTTGCTTATATCCTGTTTGCCTTAAAGTCATTCCCTTTCTCAAACACTATATTTGGACTTGGATGACACCAACTCTTGTCCAGTTCCTGATCTTCCTCTTATAACATGCAGCAGGTGGCCTGTCAGATGATTCCAAGCATTCCTGGTGCTTATTCTACCTTGATCAATAGCAGTTTGACTTCTGGCTTGGTTTTCAAACTGGGACTGCTGTAGTTGCCTTGGTGAATGATTTTCATCTTCAGTTGGTTGTGGTAACTCTATCAGACACATTTGATATGATCAACGAGAAAGTTTATTCTTGAAACTTTTACATACCCATAATTCTATGTTGAAGGGTTGTTGTTTTTTTAAAAAATAAAAATTCTGCAACTTATATTTGGCAAAGCAGTACATTTTTTTACCACCTGCTGATTCTGTTTGGTTATTATATTTTCTTGTATTGGGTTTTCTTGATGGAATCCACCTATAGCACAGCACTATGGACAAAGGGAATTAAAGAGTTTGTTGTTACTGTTGTTGTTAATAATCAGTATTTTGTTGAAGAAGAGGGTGAGAGACTTCTAAGCTAACATTTTGTTGTCTATCTTTACTTAGCATGCTCCTGGTGTACCCAAAATCCTTGTTGGCAACCGCCTGCATCTGGCCTTCAAACGACAAGTATCTACTGAGCAGGCACAGGCCTATGCTGAAAGATTAGGCATGACATTCTTTGAAGTAAGCCCACTCTGTAATTTCAACATCACAGAGTCCTTTACGGAACTTGCAAGGATTGTGTTAATGAGACATGGAATGGACCGGCTGTGGAGGCCAAACAAAGGTAAGTAACACAAAATCATTTGCTTTATTGCAGCGGGGCGTCTAACTCATGAGCCAGCTCTGGGCCAGCAAGCCACAGGAAGTGGTCCACTAGCCCCATGAAGCTTTTATCTCCTCATATCAGTGTTGTGACGCTGAGCACAAGATGAGGAGCTAATCTTTAAAGAACAGGCAGAGAGAATTGAAAAGGAATAGGAAGACTTTTGCCCCACTCAAAGAGAGAGTGAGAGAGTGTTGTGTATGTGTTTGCGTGAGAGAATGCTGTGTGCTTGCAGATGTGGTGAGTGTGGTGTATGTGTGTGTGTGTGTGAGAGAGAGTGCTCTGTGTGCACACACATGCAGCATAAATTTACATTGGCCGTGCTGGGGAGCTATGTTAAAAAACTAATGGTGGTGAGCAGTATGCAGGTTGTAGATTAGCCACCCTGCTGTAAACAGTATGACAATTGAGCGCCAAACTTGGGAGCACTCTTCCTCCCCACTCACTTCCCTTGTCTGCTTTAACCATGCTTAGCATTACATCTGTACTAGTACTGGACATGGTTAACATTTACAATTTCCAGAGAGTGAGCCATGCTAGTCTCTTGCAGCAAAAACAACAGAGTCTTGAACAAATTTATCACGGCAAAATCTTTCATTTCATCAGATGCACAAAGGAAACCGGTGCTTCATATTACCTCAGGTGTGATGGATATGTTGGAAAGGCTTATAAATTGATAGCTCTCCTTCTCTAAGGTGGAAGGAAGGAGAATTTCTACCCCTAAATAATTTGAATAAGTACCTGCAAGCTATACATGGGTTGTTAGAGAAAAGGAGGTGACTAAAGTGGATGTTCAAGCACTGTTTACCTAAAATTTACTTCAGTGGGCCCCTGGAATTATGCTGCCATCTAGAGCTGGAGGTTGTAGTATTGCTTCAATTTAATTTAAATTTATTTATTTGGCTGTTTTTCTTTTCAGGGGGAGGGTTGTGTGTTGTTAGAATTTTTTGTATTTTCTTCTTCCCCATTTCCCCCTTGTTAAATCATTGCAACATCACCTTTATTCATGGAGGCAAGCCATAGTTATGGGGATTCAAGATAGAATTAGGAAGGAACTTCAGAAGCAGTGAAAAGAAACAGAACCCGAGAGCTCTGAAAAATACAGTGAAGTCAAAGCTGTGTACTCGTGTCACCTTGTGGCTATTTAGAATCATGTTATGACTAATCTTAATTCATGTTTTTGTTTCTTGTTTTAAGTCCTGAGTTTGCAAGATCTTTGTTGCCGCGCCATAGTTTCATGCACCCCAGTGCACCTTGTGGACAAACTTCCACTCCCTGTTGCCTTAAGAAGCCATCTCAAATCGTTCTCTATGGCCAATGGACTTAATGCTCGGATGATGCACGGACGTTCCTACTCTCTCACTGCCAGCAACAACAACAAAAGAAATAGTCTGAAGAAAGCCAAAATTATCCATCCACTCCAGAGCCCTCCGAAACACTGCACCAGAAATAGCTGTAAAATCTCCTAAGCCTCTGCTTGGAAAGGTTTGGGCCAGAGCCTTTAACACAAGGACTCATAGTCAGGTCTGTTGTATGTATTGCATTACAGAAACAGAACAAAAAAATTGCTATTTTAGAGTCATTTGTTTTAAATAATGCTGCTTCCAGATGTGTGATGCACTCTGTGCAAACAAAGGGATGTGAAACTTTGCTGTTGGGTTTTTTATATATCATTTTTTGATGTGCATGAAGACTTTGTGTGTTTTATAAAGGGAATAATTTATCACACTACTCAGCTTTCGATGACACTAAATCTCAGAAGTGAGTTGTTTTAATTGCTCAAATATTGTTTAATCACTACATTTTATTAGCAGTTAAATAGGAATCAGTGTCAGTCTGTAGATGCAGGCAGTTTTTTAAACCACAATGTATTGTATACATTGTAAAAGCTACAAATTCTGTAGTGAAACGATTATTTGTGATGTTGCAGTAGAGCATCTGAAAATGGTTTTGTACTGTTTCCTCAGTGATTTTGAAGCACTGCTTTGAGCTACCAGTGTGTAAATGCAATATACACAAGATTTTCTCCCATCCATGTATAAAATATTTGATAAAAGTTTTGCTATGTTGTTTAGGGATTAATCTGTGGTTTATATGCTTATTTTTCTGGTAAATCTACATTTTTGTAATGGATATTCTAGTGATCAGTTATATTGCAAAATAAGCCAAAGACATCAGATGTATTTGCCACATAGCAGTAAGAAAAATGTGATTTGAAAAGCTGCTTTATCGGGGAAAGGACGCTATTTAAAAATAAAACTCTTTTTAAAAGCTCTAAAAAGTGCTAGAGTGGTTTTTCCTAGTTAAATATTTTCCTGGTCTCCCAAGACTGGAGGTAATGACTTTCATTTATAATTTGTTCAAGACTTGATTAAAGGGTCATCTCCTACCAGTTTTATCTGTGAAGTCAGGAAGATGCTTACATTGAACAGCTGCCCAGAATGGCTGGGGCAACCCAGTGAGATGGGTGGCGGCAAATAATAAACTTATTATTATTATTATTGGCTGATAGTTGGTTTTTAAGTAAACTGGGGGTATTTTTCCACTGCTGTGCTGTTCTGTTTTCAACTTATTTTGCTTTAATATGGTTTTGCTTTTTATTTTATATTGTACAGTTTGATTTGAACTGAAAACATTTCTGATGGTGTATTATTTTATTTTTTTACTCTGTTTTTCCTTTACTGGGCAGAGTTCTCTTAAGAACAACTGCCCTCTGTTACCCCCTTGGTTGCCCCCACCATCTTCCAGGTGAACAACCAGACACCATCAATAACACCTGTTGTTTCAGAGCTGCTACTGCAAGGGCAATATCATCTGCCTATGAATCTTAATTTATTATTGCAATCTACTATAGGAACATAAGATGCTGGACCAGACCAAAGGCCCACCTGTTCTCACAGTGACCAATGAGATGCCTCTGGGAAGTCCACAAGCAGGACATTAGCACAATAGCACTCTTCTTCACTTGTGCTCCTCAGCAATTAGTATTCCAAGGCATACCACCTTATGATACTGGAGGCCAAAAAGGCCATTACATTGATAGAAAAATTATGGAGAATAAGGCGAAGTTAACTCTTAAACTCTTAAACTTAAGTTAACTCATTTGATTCTTATCTCATTATACATGACAAAGCCATTTTTCACCTTCTCACCCCTTGCTTTTTCCTGCAAGACCTATTGCAGTCGTTAAGAGTAGTCAACAGGCTCATCACAGCTATCTGCCAATCACCCATTCCCACCACCCTTCTGAGTAATACCCCTCCCCACCTTCTCACTATATAGAAGGATCTGGCAACTTCTGTTTCACTGTATTTGAAGAAGTGTGCATGCACACGAAAGCTCATACCAAGAACTAACTTAGTTGGTCTTTAAGGTGCTACTGGAAGGAATTTTTTGTTTTGTTTTAACTCTTAAAGTCATCCAAGTTGGTGGCCATTGCTACATCATACAGTAGCTAATTCCACAGTAGCTAATTTTAATCACCCTTTTTGTAAATTGAAAAGCCCCAAGTGAAGTAAGCTTTCTGCATAGAGTTGTTCCAGCCCCTTGATCTTATTGGTTTCTCTTTTCTGTATCTTTTCCAGCTCTGCTGTATCATCTTTGAGATGAGCAGGATTTCAAGTACAACACACAAGATTTACACTTTCACTGAGTTATCCACCACAACCCCAAATATATTTCCTGCTCAATCACCACCGGTTCAGTGTAAATGAGAAATTAGGGTGCTGTTGTTTTTTTGCTCTAATATATATCACTTTACACTTGCTTACACGGAATTACATTCACCATTTTAATGTCTATCCAGTCTGGAGAGATGGTCGCAAGTTCCTAACAATCCCTTTTCGTTTTTACCAGCCTACACAGTTTGCTGTCATCAGCAAAGTTGTTGACCTCATTGCTCACGCCCAATTCAAGACTGAATGTCTTAATTGGTACCCCTAGGCAAAGGTACTCAGAGCTTTTCTTCTCTTGTCTTTTTAAAGTAAGTTATGAAGCAAAATAGGCAGGTACCCAGTTTCTGTGAAATGAGCCAACCTGGCTGCTCCTGCCAGTCAGTATTTTTAGCCAATGAGTGAAGTCAAAGCTGTGATTGATAAGTGATTTGTTTGAAAACCAGCAATAGGAATTCCTGGAGTCGGCAGGATCCGCTGTTTCTCTGTCTCATGTTTGAAAAGCAGTATTCAAAAATAAAATTATTGCCAAGCATAAGCAAAATACACTTGCCAAGCCAACACACACCTCCATGTCACTTCATGTTCCTAATTGTGAAAGTGCTTGATGAAGAAGAAAGGGAGGAAATCATTTCCTAAGCACAGTGAACCACAAATGAAACACCAGAACAGAAATTGTAGTACTGTGTTGTTGTTGTTGTTTAGTCATTTACCGTATTTTTCGCCCTATAGGACGCACTTTCCCCCCTCCAAAAATGAAGGGGAAATCTGGGTGCGTCCTATGGGGCGAATGCAAGCTTTCGCTGAAGCTTGGAGAGCGAGAGGGGTCGGTGCGCACTGACCCCTCTCGCTCTCCAGGCTTCAGGAAGACATCCGCAGGGCTGTCTAGGCTGCGGATAGCAGCCTGCTTCCCGGAGCGTCGGGCGCCCTGAAAGCAGAGCGCCCGGGGCTTCGGGAACACATCCGCAGCCTAGGCAGCCCTGCGGGAGGTCCCGCAGGGCTGTCTAGGCTGCGGATAGCAGCCCCGCCCGCCGGACAGACATCCGCAGTGTGGGGAGCCCTGCAGGAGTTCCCCGCAGGGCTCCCCACGCTGCAGATAGCAGCCTGCTGCCCGCCGGACAGACATCCGCAGCATGGGGAGCCCTGCAGGAGTTCCCCGCAGGGCTCCCCACGCTGTGGATAGCAGCCTGCTGCCCGGCGGGCAAGGCACCCTCAAGCAGAGCGCCCCGCCTGCCGGACAGACATCCGCAGCGTGGGGAGCGCTGCAGGAGTTCCCCGCAGGGTTCCCCACGCTGCGGATAGCAGTCTGCCACCCGGCGGGCGGGGCACCCTGAAGCAGGGCACCCCTCACGCCGGACAGACATCGGCCAGCCCCACAAGCTCGGGGGACAGCAGGGAGGCGCAGCGCCGCCATCCCGCTGTTCCTCGACCTGGTTCGGTTTCCCCGACCTGCTTTTGGGGGGGAAATAAAGGGGGGAAAATTTCCTTTATTTCCCCCCCAAAAAACTAGGTGCGTCCTATGGGACAAAAATATGGTAGTCGTTTCCGACTCTTCGTGACCCCATGGACCAGAGCACGCCAGGCACTCCTGCCTTCCACTGCCTTCTGCAGTTTGGTCAAACTCATGCTGGTAACTTCGAGAACACTGTCCAACCATCTTGTCCTCTGTCGTCCCCTTCTCCTTGTGCCCTCCATCTTTCCCAACATCAGGGTCTTTTCCAGGGAGTTCAGGGTCTTTTCCAGGGAGTTGTAGTACTGTATATGGTAGTATATACCATATACTACCAGTGTGTTATTGAAACCAGCAATGTCCTTTGATTATATATGCCTTATGAAAAATCTGCAGTCTGAGCACTTGAAGGTTTATTCCTCAGCACATTGTCTTAAGCACAGCAACATGTGAAGCATACTGTTATAGGTCTTTAGATGCTAAATGCCCGGGTTTAATATATGTTGGAATATAATTAGAACTGGGATCTTAAAATGTGTATTAGGTTTTGCAGACACACTTCAAAGCTCCTGACACTAACATGTGAGAAGCTTAATGAAGGCAGACCCTGTGTGCTAAGTGGGTGCCAGCCATGGCTAACCCTGGAGAATCAACAAGTGTAAAAGTTAATTAACAGGAAATTTCCTTGTGACAAGCCTGGGGACAAGCCATTTAGGCGACACAAAGGGGTGAAAAGGTAAGCCTCATTTGCAAATGTGTGGGCCGGGGCTGGATTTAGGTTTGATGAGACCCTAAGCTACTGCAGGTAATGGGGCTCTTTATATGTCCAGCTGTCCTTTGTCAACAACAAATTGTTTTTTTTTGTGTGTGTTTCAGGTAGGTAGCTGTGTTGGTCTGACTCTGACGAAATAGATATAAAAAAATTAAAAAATATCCAGTAGCACCTTAGAGACTAACTACCAGTAAGTTAGTTCAGGGTATAAGCTTTCGTGTCCATGCACACTTCTTCAGACTTAACTGTCAGGGGTCCTTTACCTTTAAGGTGCAACACGACTAAACGACTAAACAACAACAAAAATATGCTATATGGTAATTTATGGACCTAATAGGTATCTAAAGTCATTTGCACACACAAATACCTCGGGTTATAAACACCTGCTAACCCAGTAGTACCTCGGGTTAAGAACTTTACCTCAGGATGAGAACTGTAATTGTGCTGCGGCAGCCGGAGGCCCCATTAGCTAAAGTGGTACCTCAGTTTAAGAACAGTTTCAGGTTAAGAACGGACACAAAACACTGTTGCTGTATGTAGGTGTTGTTGTTTTTTTATATCTTATATTTTGGAAATGTACATCCAGACCCCCCCCTTTAATCTCCCCCCCCCCAAGAGAGTGGGGCCCTAAATTATAGCTTGTTTAGCTTATACGTAAATCCGGCACTGGTCGTGCCTCATTCCCGAAGGAAAGACTAACTCTGGAGTAAGAAGCGCGTCTGCAACCTCTGGAATGGTGGTGACTTTACTGGGGGCTGCGTTGCCCCACGTCCAACGGGTCTTTTGCCTCCTCGTAACCCCATTTAGGATCCCTTACCTCTCTTGCAAGGGCAGCGAAGGCGACACGCGATGGAGACCGTGAGAGGCGCCACGAGGAGGGCTTTCCCCGTCGCCCACCTTTCCCGGTGGCGCCAGCCAGGTGAGAGTCGGGCTGCTGATCGTTAGCTTGGCACTCCGCCGGGCGGCCTGCCTTGAGCGACGCGCTCTGCGCTCGCAAAGAGGGGGACGGACGTAGCAGGCTGGGGAATGGAAAGAGCCAAGCCGAGGAAGGCGGCGGCGGCCGGCGTTCGACAATTCGGCTCTCCTCTGGTCAGCCTGGGAGGGCTCATTGGACGCGCTCGGTGCTCGGCGCGGCGCCTGTCTAGTCCGGAAGGAATCGTGGCGCTGCCGCCCCCTCAGGCCAGTGACCCTCCCCCGATGGTGTGAAGGACCCCCCCCCGTCCGCGGCTGCGGCCTTCCCCGGAGTCCGGCGCCATGAACCTGCTTCCAGCCAACCCGCACGGGAATGGGTTGCTGTTCGCCGGTTTCAACCAGGACCACGGTAAAGACCCTCGCGGGACGCCGGGGGGTGGGAGTCAGGGGTCCGCCTGTCCGCCCGCGGG